TGATTTTTTCTTCCTTTTATTACTTTTATTTATATCTCTGAAGTGGAAAATGTTACTTAAATTTTTAAAGGTTTGCACAACGTTTTAAAATGTTGGTAACAATAAAAAATGTTCCCACATTTCAAAAAATGTTTGTGATATTTTTTACTACAATGTAAAGTAATGCTTACATAATTCAGAAAAATGTTCTGTACCATTTGGAAAAATGTATATGTCATTCAAAAAAATGTTTGCGTAACTCAGAAAAAACGTTCCATACCATTAAAAAAGATGCACTACATGACATTTAAGAAAATGTTCACGCATTTTCAGAAGATGTGTTCATGCCATTTTTAGAAAATACAATGCAAAACAATATTTCGTATCAGTCATAAAAAAGTTCTATATGCATTTGAAATTTTTTTTAGCACATATTCGAAAAAATGTTGAAATATATATATTTGATAAATTCTTAGTAATGTATTTAAATTTTTTAAACATGTATAGAAAATGTTCCAAATGTATACAAAAATGTAAAATAAGTATAAAAAAGTAGACACCCAAATATGTATTTGAAAAAAATGTTAATCATCTATTTAGAAAATGTTAAAATTGTATAGGAAAATAATTGGTGTACACAAAATATGTGCAATGTGTATGAAAAAACAGGCATGTATTGAAAAAATAATAAAACTAAAAATAGAAATAAAAACCAACAAAAAACACGGAGAAACAAAAGCAAAATAAAACCGGTGAAAACCGAGGCAACAATCCACAAAAGAAAGAAAAAGAAGAAGACCAGAATACTGACAAAAAAACACAGAGAAAACCCTTGTTGAAAGCTTCCAAAACTACTACGAACCGGTCTACATAATCTTTCTAAAACCGTTTTGATGGGCCGATCTTTTAAAAAGCACGAGCCCCGTTACTGTAGCTCTAGAAATAGGCGAGAAATAGCGCTGACCACACCTGTGTTTTGCTATACGAAAATCAAGGGGAAAGCAATAGGCGAGAAATAGCCCTCAAGGTGCCTGAGTGTTGCAAGAATTCAAAAGTCCGGGAGAAAACCGAACGATCTCGGGTATGCACCTCCAGATGGGCAGGGGTCGGCCATTTCTCAAGAACAGTAGCTTAGGACCTTTTAGGATTTAGTGTGGTTGCTTGTTCTTAAGGAAACGTTCAAATCAACCAATCATATCAGGATAGATCCAATGTGTGTGATTTTTTGCTTTTCTCAATAGTTAAAAAAACATGCCAGTTTTGAAAGGTAGTGGTAGCTGCATTTAGGCGACTGTGTCCGAGCCATGGGAGAAGACCATATTGGATTAGATATTTAACTCACATTCTAAAATACTACTCCCTGTATAAACAAAGATAAGACGTTTTAGGTCACTGTATTTTTTTCAGAGAGAGTACTACCATTTTCCCCTTGGGGTTCGGACCGTTTTTTCGAGAAAGGAAAGTTGAGTTCGATCCCAACAAGTCTTTTTTAAGAAACACCTGTAGTTTTATTCATCATACTCATAACAATTATAAGCACACTAATTTGGATCTAAGATTCAAGAAAATACAAAGTAACTCTTCTGACTAAGAATTATAATGAAATCTCTTGAAAAATACCTTCTTTGTTGTATCAATCTCAGCTAGAAGAAATACTTCAATCTAAAGAGGCTGCAATAAAACGATTTGTCGCTTTTTCACCCGCACACAAATTACTAATAGTGGTTTTTGATAGCACCTTGAGCCGTCCATCCAAAAAGACAAGAAACCTTGGTCGATGAACGCACTTGGGTCTGGGATAATCCCCTAGAAGTGCAGGTCGTTTGATCACAATATCTTCACCATGGTGTCGATGAGAGATTTCAACTCCACAAAAAATCAACCAACAAAAAAAGTTTGACACACCAACATAAAGACATAAAATCCGAATAATCAGATCTATAAGGAAAAAAAACTCTCTAACCTCATGAAACCGTAAAAAAAAAGTAAATTTATTCTCATAAAATACGATAATCATTAAACGATGTCAAAGATCATGGAACTCTTGAAGATGCGAGGCTGCCCCACCTCTTTGCGCCAAGATGACAGCGAGGGGTAAGGGGACCAAACATTCCCTTGGGGCGCCGGACGGCGCCCCTGCCACAGCTTCCGGTGCTCTATATTGGGCAGACTCGCCTTCTTCTTCTGTGCTGTCTATGGCCGCCACAGCGGCCTCAGAAACGGCATCACAGTGGCTCTTTGCCAGCTTCGAGTCAGCGCGACGGAATTCGAGCGCCGTGGTGGCCTCCGATCTGAATTCTCTGTCACCTGTAGTGGAAATCGGGCGGAAGGAGGTGTTCGACACGGACATTGAGGCAGCAATACCACCTACCAAGCTCGGCTGGCTTGCTGGGCACAGTCTCTTGCTTGCGGCCGGATCACACTCCGGGCCGGCTGGAATGGTGGGGGACATACGCCTGTGGGATGTCCGGGCAAGCTCGACGGTGCCAGTGTGGGAGGTGAGGGAGAAGGACGACTGCTTTGCAGATGTTGCTGCATCAGACTCACCGTCGGCATTGTTTAAGGTAGGGGCTGCCTCCAGTGAGGTTTTCGTGGCTGACTTGAGGAGATTTAGTGGTGATGGCATCAGTGTGGATCCTTGGGTGTGCATCGGAGACATGCAAAGGGCGGGAGCAGCCACAACATCTCGCAGAAAGGATGGGAATGGTTGTAGAATTGAGTGTTACCGCAGTTGGGTGTTTGTGGCACGAGGTGCATATGCTGAGGTGTGGACACAGGTGGAAATTACATCAGAGCCTCGGGAGAAGAAGGTGATGAGGAGGAATTGGGTAGGGAACGGGCCATCGATGGTTACTGCAGACGGCGAGGAGAAGGCCAAGATCGTAAGCTGGGCCTTCGGAGGCAGCAGAATGGCATTGGCTAGAGTCGATAAGCGGTCTGTTGAGGTGTGGGATAGTGCTTCTGGGACAATATCAGGTGAATAGAGGAACAAGACTACACATGTAAGAAATCTCAAATTCGATTGTTCTTTTTGTTTACCTCTATCAATGTAGTTTTGGTGTTTGTTTTAGGTCAGAGAACAGTCTACACTAATTCTATAAGCTGCCTACGGAAAGAAAAGATTAACAGTATCACATATCACATTTCTGTAAGCAAAAATTGAAGTAGAATTGATTGCGAATCAGAATTGCTTGGTTCCTTTGTGTTAAACTCTTAATTGATAGTAACTAAAAATTCAAAAAAGTAGCATGTGAATTAATCTAATCATTAACCTCCTTACCAGGATATTAGATTAACATCTTCTAGGAGCTCATGTTTGAGAGAAAAAGCTTCTAGAAGCTCATCACATTTCCAGCATCACATGCAAATAAAACACGCTTTGCAGTTTTCTGTTTCATCAGAAGTTATGATCAATATTCATTGCTTGGTTCTGTGCACATTGGTGTCCCATGTGTTTGGTAATGAGCACATCTTGTATGATGCAAAGTTGCAAACTAACATGTGTTCTAAATTTTGTTTGCAAACTAATATGACATCATCCTGGCAATTTAATCATGCAAAGTCAATTCTTGTATCCACATTCAATCTAATTAGTTTAACTCATGTCTTCCACCAGAGTGCACAATTAAAAGATTTTATATTTGAGTAACATGTGTAAGGTATGTTTTATTGTTAGCAATAATAATATCGCATAAGGTTAGGAATCTCAAACTCAACAATGATTAAAGTTTGTTTTTACGGCATTCGGTTATGTAGGTTGATCTGATAAATGCTGGAATTTCAAAGGCCGTTGGTTCTGACAGAAACTATCAAATTTCATCTTGATCCATCATAAATTTGGACATTGCAACTAACCAGCTATGCAAACATATCAAATATGAACTCGATGTGTTTGATGACACAGTTCAGCAAGCAAAACCCCAC